TATGGTTTGATCCAGTGAAGACATGATTTAGTAGCTTCTATATATCTGTCGTTCTGAAATCGAAATGTGGGTTTCTGACTTTTTTTTTCTTTATGGTGTTTTAAGGGAACAATGTGATTGCTTATTGGTTTTTTAGTTGTATGTGTCGAAGTGAAAATATAAATTATTTCTTTTTGCCTTTCGCTCCACCTTAGATATCGAGGTCTGGATAGTTCATTTATTTTTCACGTTTTGTTTGTGAAGTGATATTTAGGACTTTTAATTTTAATCTTTGCTTTTGTAAGTTGAATATATGTTTTGTTTTGTTTCTTAATGTTTTAAATGGAAGAGCTGTCTTTATTTTTTCGGCGTATTTGTTTAAGACACGTACGAATTCTCTAAAATTTTGTTAAAATATTTTTCAGGTGGAAAATATGTTTCGTCATTTGTCGTTTTTCTTTGTATGGTAAATCGGAAATATGGGTTTTTTTTTGCGTCGCTTGCTCTATTACTGAAGGCGAGTATTTGAGTTCTTTTCTCATTTTGTTAAATTAGGAAATTGAAAATAGGATTTCATATGTCTCTCTTAGTTGTTTGTATTGAATTGAAAATTGAATGTTGTTTTGTTCCATATGGTAAGTTGAAAGTATGATTCATTATTTGTTATATCATTTTGTGTCGTAAATCAAAATTAGGATTTTCTGCTTCTTACATTGCTGTTTGCTTTAGGTATAGTATTGGATTTTTCATTTTTCATTTTGTGATATTTGTTAAAGTGAAAATGCGACTTTTTTTTCGACTGTTTTCGTTATATTTTTGCAATCATAAATGAGATTTTTCATATGCTTTTCTTATATTTGTTCAGTTAAGAATTGGATTTTTTATTTCTTAGTTTGCTGTATGGGTTTAATCGAATACTGGAGTTTTTGTTTTTTTTTCGATTTATTGAATCGAGAGCATGAGTTTTCATGCCTTATTTCTCTTTACGACTTAAATCGAAAATTTGATTTTTGGTTCATTGCATTCTTCGACGTCTTACAGGGACAATATAGTTTTTCGTCTGTTTTTCGCGTGTATGTCTAAAATCAAAAATAAGCTTCTATGTTTTTCATGTTGCTGAATATCTCATAATCGAAAATAGGATTTTTTGGCTGGAGATGTGTTTTTGAAAAATATTGAAGAGTGAGTTTTCGACTCCTTTTTTTCTTATATTTTTGAAATCGAAAAGAATTTTTTTTATTGTGCTTCTTTTTGTATGATATAAGATAAAGAAGTTTGTTGTGTGTTATTGTTCTCTATCTATGAAAAAGAAAATACCGTTTTCCAGTTACGAGTTTTCTATGTTGATGATATAGACAAGAATATGTTTTGTGGTTGGTTTTTGTATTGATTATAAAGAAAACGATATTTTTCGCTTCTTTTTTTCTCTGTCGATTATATAAACGATCGTATTTACTTTAATTTCTACAGTTATCATTTCATAAATACAAAAATTTGTGTTTCTCGTTCCTGATATCCATATGTTGTTTATATTGACAAGCGTGTGTTATACTCTGAGTTTTTGCTTTAGTGATTAGGCAGATAATAGGTTAATTTGTATTATTGATGTTGGTGCATTAGTTGTATACGTAGTAAGTTCTATTGAATCTGGTGGTATGAAAGTCAAGGATTGTTCGTTGTGTGTAGCGAAGAGTAGTTTTTTTTGTTTTAAAAGAAGTATTATTCATATGATCACTAATTAAGTGACCTTTTTTTTAGTTTATTTATCGAATTTTTATTTACCTATGTTTTCAGTTTTAGGAACAACCTTATTCAATGTAAACGAAAAAAGTTAAGACGCATGTGTTCGCAAATACAGTTTGTCGAAATACAAAACATCATCTGTATTGAAGAATATGAATGTATGTGGAAATTTTACCAATGAGATGAGAGAAAAACAATAAAAGTTGTGAAGAACAACTAGTAGTTACTGATAAAAAAAACGATTATATAAGAAATAATAAAACAAAAAGTAGTATAAGAGTAATTTCGTTTCTTCCTGAAGCAATAAAAAACGAAAAGAGGAAGGTTTCATAAGAAATATTAATGATAAAAAAGTGTCTCTATGAACAAAATTCACAAAGACAATGGAAAAGGTAAATAATATTGTAAGAGAAGAACAAATGTAAAACAGATACAAACAATTACATAATTGTACAAGTAAGGAATTAGGAAAAAATATTAACTATTTATTATCTGATGATGAATAACGTTGTTTAGGTTTTCGACTTCGCTTGGCATAGATTGATGGAACTAATTTAAGATAAAAGATATTTCAAAGTTTATTAAATATTGTCAATTAGTTCTTGCCAGTTGATTGTTGAATGACAGCTAATGGATCAAGTATCACTCGTTTACAAAGAAAGTCATTGTTTCGGATTATATCAACTAGTTTGCTAGAATATAAGCATGAATTGTGTTTGATATCTGAAGCATTGAGTGTACGAGGAAAAGAATCAATTTTCTTTTTCTTGAAAGACTGTTCGAAATCATCGAAATGTATTTTATATTTTACTAACAAATTAGCAAATTCGTTTTGTTGTTGTATGTCTCTCTTAGGAAAAGCTTTTAGGTATCCACTCATAAGACTGATGTCGCCGTTGACTTTCTTCATAGCAAACCAGTTTTCTTCAATTAAGAATTTGTCATTTGTCAAATTTTTTATTATTTAATTTCGAATTTTCGATATTTTCGAAATGTGCTTCAGCTTGATACATATTTCAGATTTTGACATTACAATAGAGCTACTTAATATTAACTTGGTATAGATTTGATCGAGGTCTTTTTCACTAATATCTTCTGTATCAGCTAGATAAAAATGAAAGTATGAATTTTATTATTATTATTATTATTGGTGTTTCTATCGACAGATAGATTAACTTACACATGTTATGTTTTGGGTCACTGCTAATAACAATAGTACTGATTTGATTATTATTCGACTGGATTGGTGTAACGATAAGATGAGAAAGATATGTTATGACCAGTGGCGTATCCAGGATTTTTAGACCAATGGGCAAACTTCTATTGTATCAGAAAAAAACGGTGGGCAAAATGGGCAAGTTTTTTATTAATAGGCCAAATTATTTTTTGATTCAACAGAGTATTGATAACGTAAAAACAACACAAAAAAATGACATGGGATTATTTTAACCAAATATGCATCAAACTCAGATCTAAAGTCTGAGTCAGATGTGTTTTAGTCTATTTTTCATCTCTTCACTGGTAACATTTATGTTTCAAATCCAAACACCAAAATAAAGACAACGATGACACATTTCAGTATACAATTTCAATATTTCATTCAGATTTAAAGGGGTGGCGCGACCGACGGGGAATGGTGGTATTACCTCCTGCTCCTGGAAATTTTAGCTGAAACTTTCTGCAGATTTGGATATTTTGTGGGTCGATTTGCTCCCACTTTGGGACACTTAATAGGCAATTTTCTCCAATATTTTTGAGAAATATGTTGGACAACTTTCTCTGAAATCAGAGAAACTTCAAGTTTCGAGAAATTCGATAGGCAACTTTCTCCAGATTTTGAGAAAAATATTAGATAATTTTCTCTGAATTCAAAAAAAATCTAAATTTGGAAAAGTCTATTAGACAATTTTCGTCGATTCTTTAGATTTTTTTGCATAAAAATGGTTAACTTAAGCTTGAAAAAGACCCAGAAATTGTTATCACACTCAGATCCATCTGTCGCTAATATCCACATAGCGTGGCAAATCTTAACGACAAATGTATTTTCTTTTCATCTTTTCAAAAACTCTCGACATTCTGATGACTTGTGCAACATCAACCTTTGTATTCCTATTTTTCCAATGTTATTTTACGTTCAAAAATAGTTATATCAAAAATTGAACGGAGAATGAAATTAAAAAAAGAGTCACGTTTGTTTCGTTTTTTTAATAGTAACTCTTCATGTACGAAAGCAAGAAGTACACGTATAGTCTGACCAGGTCTAGAAGCATCGGAAAGCCTCTCTACTGCGAAAAAAAGCATACAAATAGCAACAAAAAAACTTTTGTTATTTTGCACTTTCTCGCAAGAACAAGCAGAGAATGCATATTGTGATTCCGACGGAAGAAAAAACTACACTTACTATCTAATTCAAAAATAAATAAACAACTCTGAAAAAGTAAAATTTCAATGGGCAAAAACTTACCAATAAAAATTACAATGGGCATATCTCCAAATTCGTTGGGCAATGGCCCATTTGCCAGCCCCTGAATACGCCACTGGTCTCTGGTGATTGCAAATATACAAAATAACACACCAGGTGTTTGTTTTCTTTTTAGTGATGTCAACTGAGTAAACTTGGAATCTATGAATAATTAATAGCCGTAATTATACTTATCGGATCAAAAAAAAATTGTGCAGGAGCAATGCATTTGCCTTGTTGCATAATTATCATTGAAGCGAACTGAGATTGAGTCGTAAGAACCTGCCGCTTTTCTTTAAGCTTTGGCACGTGGGTAAATAGACAATTTAATTCAATCTTTGCTTTGGCGACAGAGTTAAATCTTGTATAGAAGATACACTCAGTGAAGGATGACTTGATCTCATGTTCGCAGTTATCGGCCATGAACAACTCGATTTGAGAATGTGATACTTAAAAAAATATCGTTGATGACACAGGACATCAATGTCGATAGTTCCGTATTGTATATACAATCAATCAAATTGGATTTTAGCGAGACGAGCAATGCTAGTCGAGTTCTGATCGAATTTCATAGACTCAAATTGATCCGAGACAAAATACTCAAATGCAAACCAATGAAATGTGAGAAACGATCAATCATGATACTTGTCATGGAACTATCGTCTTCAGAGAATTTAAGTGAAATAATATGAGATCATATAGTTGAGAGATAGAAACCAATGAAGGTATCTATTCACCATGT